TTCATGGAAAGACTTTGGGAAAACTGAGGCAGGGCAGGAGTTTCTACAGCTGGACAGCATCCTTCAGCGAGGGCCTGCCTCTCTGCCCTGTCCGGTCCAGGACTATTCTAAGGCCACGTAAAAGATGCAGCCTACAAGATGGGTTCTGATATCTATTTTTTTTTTAAAGTTAACTAATGTAAAAATCATGAGCATTTCCTGTCTGTTCCAAAAGGAGGAAAATTCCAGCTCGCAGATGAAAACCAGATACAGTTCTGTAGAACATGTGCGGTATCACGTCTCCAGCTCAGGGATTCCTAGAGACCAGCCTAACTTCATCCTGCCGGGGGGAGCTAGACAGCCAAGCCGACATTAGCCTGCAGGGCCCACATGAGAGGTGTCTCCCCTCAACTTCTCTGTTCAGCCTTCTTCTTGCTGGTGCAGGGAAAGGCACATTTTGGGTCAGCTTTGCTACCAGCTATGGACACCGTTACTTGACCAGACTCGGGGCTGGATGATGGTCCTTCTAGCTTCCGTTTAAAGCTCTGCCTGTACCGCCTGCATGCCCCCATCGGTGACTTCATCGGTGGGTGCTTGGGCTAGGCGCAAGCCTCCCTAACAGAGCTGCTTGGTGTGAGATTCCCTCTGCTCCTTTATTTTAAAAAGCCCAGAGGAAGCTGGAACTTCTGGCCCAAGAACCCTCATACCGAGTCTTACTCCCCACATGAGCACATTTCTCATAGAGATTGCTTCAGAGAAAGGATCAACACAGACGTCGGAGCGGGAAGGAGAAAGCACAGCAAAACATAGCAAGGTGGCGAAGCGAAAAAGCTAGGAACACAGAGAAAAGTAACAGCCATGGCCACCGTTGTGCTGCGCCTTCCTGCTGCCACTCACTGGCCTCAGGGACTCCGAGCACCCACAAGGAAGCAGTTCTTTGGAGCTCGAGGACAACTCAGGTGGCCCCAAGTCCACAGCATGGCCTCTTGCTCCAGAGGGGCGAGGAAGAGGCCTGGAGAGCCCTCGTCTGTCCAGCTGAGCGTTACCTCATCCACATCAGAACAGGTGATGCCGTTGCCCGTGTAACCATCCGGGCAGGGTCCGCACTGGAAGCCATCCCTGGTGTCTGTGCATCGGACGCCTCGGAAGCAAGGGCTGGAGTCACACCGGCGTGGCGGGCGAGTTGGGGGTGCTGGAGGAGCTATGGGCACCAGTGTGTTTGGGGTTGGGGACTGAAAGCTGAGAGGACCTGGAAAGCAAGACCAGTTTCATCCGGAGGTTTATTAACTCATCCGGAATATGTAGGATAAAAAAAATGACATTTGGCTTTCCTCATGAACTGCCCTCCCTCCCCGCCCCCACCCCCACATCAATTCTTGTGCAGAATGACCAGAAGCCGCCGTCATGGGATCCTCAGTGAGTCTGCCCTGCCCCACCCAGAACGAGCCGGTCACCACAGAAGGGCTTACCACAAGCCTGGCATTCAGCAATAGTGTTTCGCAAAAACGACGTTTCCTTGACCTTTAGAAACAGAAGGAAAAGATTGCAAAGGAATACTTGATATAAACCAAAATGAAAGCATCCTTGTATGACCGTCCAAGAAAGGTTGCCACAGCACTCAAGGAGCCTGTGATGGCTCCCCCACTGCCTTGGCCATGCCCCCCTTTTCTCCTCAGGCTGGTGGGCTGTGTGAGCTATGTGAGGTGTGGCTCGGGGCTAAGTCCCTCCCTGCCTGTGCGGGCCTGCCCCTCCTCCCGCCAGCAGAGAAGGTTCCGTCATAATGCTCAGGCTTGACTATCGATGGGCTCTGTTCCTCACCTGCTGCCTCAGAAGATCCTTCACCTCTCCAAGGAGTTGGTTTAACTGTGTCATTTGACCCAAGAACTGTCGATTGAAGTCTCCTGTAGGAACAGCCAAAGGTAAGGAACATTCAGCCAGTGTCACTTGGTTCTGCAGGACTAAGGATCAAGGGCCTGGTACACGCTCTGTAAGCACTCTGTCACTAAGTTACATCTCTCTAGTCCATGGCCTTTCTGAGACAGGGACTTACTGTATAGCCCAAGCTGGGGTCAAACTGGCAATCCTCCTGCCTCAGCCTCCTGAGTGCTGGGAATACGGGCATGCACCTCCATGTCCGGTTGATGACAGTCATTTATTTCTAAGTGATTCAGAATGAAATGGCTCCCTAGACAATCACTATGATGAGATTATTAAACACCCAACGGTATCCGAATTCAGCTCAGGGTAATTTATCTAATTCGCCTAACAAAATAATGCGACGACTGCTGCTAGTTACTTAGTCCAAATTGGTGAGTTATAAAAATAAAAGGCAGTGAAAAGATCCCTTGGTCTGGGCTTCGTCCAAGAGCCTGGTTTGTACAGATGCATTCTCTGGGGCCGCTGTGCTGCCAACAAATATCTGGGTTGGGGACCCAGCCCCTCTGGGAGCCTTGACGTGTGTCTGTGTTGATGAGCGTGTGCTCGCTGCCCAAGAGCTCACACCTGTGCTTGTGGCGGCCAGTGGCTCACTCTGCTGCAGGAAACAGTCTTGTAGGCTGGCCACCTGGAACAGCGAGCCCCGCACCACCAGCTTCAGCTCTTCCAAGAAGTCCTAGGAGGAGGAAAAAAAAAAATCAAACCACGGCATGCATACCGGAGATCACCGCCGCTGTTCAAGAGCCAATGTGCTTGCAGAACCACCCTTTCCAGAACAGAGCAGCCCTGTGTGCTTGGACACAGGCGCTTACAGAATCTCTGTAGGTTCCCATTTGTCCTTGAGCCTGTGTGCCCCACCTTTGGACCGAAGCAAATGTGAAAGTAGCCAGTTGCCTAGGCAAACCCTGGCATCTGAACGGGTGTTTTCCATCACAGTAAACACGCTCTTCTGTGGCAGGAACCTCTCTCAAGGACTGCCTGGATTTTGCTTATGGAGTTTAGATTGCAATAAAATAAAGATTCAGTTTGAAGCAGTGTTGCTCTTAGGGTGCCTTGGCTCCAGGTTGTTACAACAAGCTTCTGATTTTCTTGGGCCACAGGAATGAGTAATGTTATATTCTGTGATCATCAGGTACTTGTCACCCTGTGTTATATTCTGTGATCATCAGGTACTTGTCACCCTGTGTTATATTCTGTGATCATCAGGTACTTGTCACCCTGTGCTATATTCTGTGATCATCAGGTACTTGTCATTGTGTGTTATATTCTGTGATCATCAGGAACTTGTCACTGTGTTGTCACATTTCTTTTGTCGGTCTCTCCTTGATGGTCACAAAGTCAGTTTCCAGACTCTTTCATCTTGTGCTCATCGATATGATGACAGAAAGTCCATGTTAGCTTCTAATGTGACACGATCATTGTTATTTTGGAAATTAAGCATCTGCAGAGGAATTTTGGCTTTAAATTTTGTCAAGATTTATTCAACCCAGTAACAAGTTTTGTATTAGATGTCAGACTGTGTGGTCTATGGAGGCAGGATTTCAGGTAGTTCTGATTTCTATGGTTCCTAGATGTCTACAACAAGTCAGTTTTCTGACTAACTGATAGTTTGTGGCCATGAAGACCAGGGTTCTAAGGTCCCTGGGACGGCCTAAGAAGGCCGAACTTTTGGGAAAATTCAGAGTATAGCTTGTGGTGACCTGTGGTGCTGAGCCCTGACTTTAGCATCTGATTTGATTATAGACATCAACTTCTAAGACGTTCAGTGGTAGAACTTGAACTGTCATTCACTGTTGGGTGATTTGGGGCCCTTGGAAATGAAGTCAATCCTCTCTTTCTAGCCACTAGTTGCCACCTCTATATGAATTTTAAAAAATCTCTTTATAACTTCCTAAAAATCAAAACAAAACCCAAATGCCCCTTAGATTTCAACTTTCTTGGAATTTCTGCTTAACACTGCTTCCCAGTACACACTGACAAGAGTGCTAAGTCAGTTTTGGAGTGTCCGTATCACCATCCTAAAACGACACCGAAGTCCTTCCTGCTAGTGATGGAAACCATCGCTTCTCCCCTGCCTCCTTGTAGGGTGGGCGTAGACAGCTTGAGACTAAAGCACATATAATAAACCAACCACACAGAAACGGAGAATGAGCATGGAGGCCCAGGAGACCACAGCATTGATGTTGACGCTCCTTCCTCTACCAGATGAAACTCAAGAGCTGTGACCAGATATAAATGATCACAAAGGACAAAAAACTACCCCCAGTTCTTCATAGGAATCAAAGCATCTCACAGTAAACAAAGCGAAAAGAAACGTGGCGGTTTCCATGGCAGGCTCGGTGACAGGACATTGGAAAACTCCCACCAACATGGCATAAAGAGAAGACAGGGTTGATGGGAATTTTTTGAGACTTCATTGAAACAGAGGCGTCCTTTAGCTCATCTTTGCTAGCAAATGGTTTGCCAATATCTGTATGTGTGTGTGTGTGTGGGGGGAATGCTTCTTGTGCTTGGCAGTTCTCAACCGTTCTTTGTTATTTGCATTAAACTAGTAAATAACAACATTTAAAAAGGAGTGAAAATACATGATCCTACTAGACAAAGATAATTTACTTAATTTTAGCTACTCCTTTTAAACTTTACAATTGTTTGAAAAGCCAACTCCAAAGAATCTATTTATTTACCTAGAAACAAAAGTTCTCAATTTTGATTTCCTATAAAATATGAATTTTTTAAAAATATTGATGCCTAGTCACCAGAGCTTCAGATTCTGATTTAATTTGTCTTGGGTGGTGGCGGGTAGCTAACAAATGTTTTGCAATTCCCCAAGTGACTCTAATACACAGCACTGGACAGGACAGCAATGAGCTAATACATTTTCTTTACCATAGGCCTTTGTACCTGGGGCCATGGAAGCCCATTTTCCACCTTGGAGAATCGTTTGTGGGTTCCTACCTGTGGTTTCCTCTGGAATGTCCTCAGTTCAATGGACTCCGGGTTCTGGGTAAGGCCAGAAAAGGCTCTGGGGAGGTTGTGCATGGAATCCACCTGGGCACAGTCCAGGTAGAGTTCTATGGAGCCAGCCC